AAAAAAAAGAACTATTTTATATCAACACACCGAATTAAAATTGCACTTTTTCTCGCTGTTTCTTAAGTATACAAATATTTTGAATTATAGACGCAGAAAATGATGAACTCTTCTTCAAAAACTACAAGAAGTCATTTCAAGCGCTTGAAGTTAAAAAATGATTCAAAAACATAGTAAAAGCTGCTGCCAGTAACTTTACATTCATATAAAATTGGTTTAATAAAAGATCCTTTTAGCCATAATTGCATTTTTTTTCCTCAAACTACACAAAAAAAGAATTTTATTGATAAAAAACGGAAAAGAAAGAGATTCCGACAATTGTGATAGCTTTGTCTTGTTCTCCTCTTTTTCTCTTAGAAATTTACCCAGTGAATTAAAAACAGTTGCCAAAACAGATTACCTACCTCAATCAGCGTCTGGAGGATAAAAGTTGAACGACATTTAAATATAGATTGCTAGCTGAAATTCAACTAGCAATCTAATCAATTACACTCACTCTGAACTAAACCTACAAAAGGTGGTAGATGAAAGACAAATGTAATAACCAACCACTTTTACGTGCCTGTGATTGCAGTTGTTTGATATAGGCGACGCTCATCTCCAAAATATCAGCTTTTTCCCATTTTGAATGACTGGTAGACTATAATCAAAAAATTCAGTAATCATCACAGAGTACATGCAGTATGGTCATTTATCTTTAAATTTTTTTCTGTTTTTTTAATAAAAATTTAGTTAAAGATCACTGCAAAAACTGTAACATCAAAGAAGAGTGATAAAAAAAGAGCTGATCATTGTTTGAATAACAGAGAACAATATTTTGCGCAAACAAAATCAATAGACAATTAACAAAACAATCAACAAATTAGCAGAAGTACAGCATTTTTTGCGCTTTCGACAAGCATTTGCTTCATTTCATATAGACAACGATTAATTCGAGCACGTCGTTTTTTCTCCATCAATGGCTTATTTGCCTACAAAAGAAAGAAAAAAGAAGAAAAAAGTAGAGCAAAGAGTTTCTTGAAACAAGAATAATAAAAAAGAAAAATTGCATTTGTTCATAAAGCTTATTTGTCTTACTCTTTCAGCTAAGCAAAATTTTCCTAAATTTCAAATTAATCAGAAAAAACTGTGCAAAACTATTAGACAAAATTTCTAAACTCAAATTAATGTCAAAAAAAATTGTTATTAATAAAAGAAAGACAAAAAAACACTAAGAAATAGATTGTAGTTTAATGGTAAATTCAATCTAACCTGTGTCATCAACTCTGATTCACTGCGTTTTTTTTGAGATACAGAATTCTAGAGCCTTTACAAAGACAAAAAAAAAGTAGCAGTATTTGTACCATTGTCAAAAATGTTCTAGCTTTTCAAAAAAAAATAACAAAAAATAAGGCATGAAGTATTACTTTTTTGCTGATTACTCGTTCGTCATGTTCTTGGTCTGATAAATCAACACTGATCTGTAACATTACCAAACCTGAAAAATCAAAAAAGAAAACAAGAATTCTTCACAAACACTTTTTCTTCTTGACGATTTATTATCAGCGATCATCAAAAAGGTTGCAAAATTGATCGGGCAGAACAGATGAAACAACAAATAAAGTCATCAAATAAATGACATTGTTCATCGTACAACGAACAATTTTGATAATTCATACGATGAAGAATCCTCTTTTTTTTTTTTCTTTTGTATGAGCATGTATATTTAAGCATTGCTGAACATTTGAGCCAACGAACATTTTCCAATGAACTGTTACACCTCTGAATGGGCAATATCAGTATGCGAGTGCGTGTGTGTATTTAAACAAATCTATGAATGTTATGAACGATTTGATGTTGACCGACAGCATACTTGACAAGTATTTTATTGCAAAACTGCGTATTGCAAGAAACTGCAAACTGCAAAAAAAATAAATAAATAAATTTGAACGAGAAAAAAAAAAATACAAATAAAGTAGTAGTAGAAACAGTTCATAGTTGTCTCCTCTAAAACAGATCTGAAATTAACCATTGACAACATCGTCGTCTATCTTCGTCAATTTGCATAGTTTTTTTGTTTGCTTTGAACATTTCAAAAGTAAGCTTAATTGGTTTGTATGTTCGATGAGTATGTGGTGTAGTAACGCTCATCAAATGCCATAGTAACCACAAAAATCGACATTAAAACTGTAATGAAAAGAATAGAGAAACTTTTTCAACGATCACCAAGTAAAATATATAAAATTATCACAGATCAAATAATCTAATTATAAATCTGTTCTTTTTTGTAACTGTAAGCAATAAATATCTGACAGATATATAATA